CTCGTAAATTACAATCAAACATCAAAATATAAGTACTCGTGAAATCTATGGGTGCGTGCGCTGCTGCAGCGAATCACAAATCAATAATGATATTGTCTTTCGACGTACACAATATATATAGATAGGTACCTATACATCTACTCTTAGTTAAACACGCATGCACAACTTATGTATTGTTTTTTAAGTGAATGGCTCGTGCGTGGTGCGGTGAGGTGGAGACGCGCGGGTGGTTACCGTAGGTATCATAAAGGTTCGACGACCTGGTACAGTTTTTATTTTAGCCCCAAACCGCAGCGCTGCGGACGAAAGAATTTCCGGTTTCGTTTTATACGATTTTTTTTCTTTCCCAGCGCCGTCGCCGTCGTCGTGTCTTATACAATATTATTATTATTATTATTATTATCCGATGTACAATGTCCGTGTGGTGCAAAATAAAAAAAAAAAGCGAATTTTTCGGTGGCCCACGCGCCCGGAAGAAGGCGTGCGGTTGCGTGGGACACCGCCGCCGCCGCCGTCGTCGTCGACGAGGAACATTCGCGTCACGACCAGCCGCGAACACGATTTTGTCATTAGCCGTCATCCCGAACGTTTGTGTATATATTCGTCTGCGGGTGTGTGTGTGTGTGTGTGTGTGTTTAGAGAGTATTCCACCCGAGTACAATGCGAAAACTCTTGAAAAACTATATATTATTATTATTATATATATATGTTAAACGTTACGAGTGAGCGGCGCTCTCGTGTGCAGTGTAGGTAGGTTAGTATGTGTGTGTGTGTGTAAATGTTTTGACCGCGTCTTACGTGTTTGCGGTCGGACGCGGGTCAGGACGGACACGAGAAAAAAAAAGAGGAAAAAAAGGGAAAAAGATAGCACGTGAAAATTGATAAAAAATAAAAAGGCCGCAGGCGATTTTGGGGGAAATATGCAAATGGCGCGGGTCGGTCGTCATGGCTACCGTGGTATGTGAGGGCGCGTCTGTGTGCGTATACATGGTTATATATAGGTGTGTGTGTGTGTGTGTGTAAGTAATAAGCGGGGCACGCCGTGTGATTGTTCTGCTCGGTTTTATGGGACACCCCCTCACCGTATACTTGTGTACTCACACACACACACGCATACAAACACTTCCCCTCTTCAAAATCGTGCCCCACCGTCTCTCTCTCTCTCTCTCTCTCTCTCACCCCTATATAACGCCGCGTGCGACCGGGCTCACCGCTACCGTGGTACCGGTGGTGGTGGCGGCGGCGGTGGTCGATAGGTTTCGTCGCGGTGGTCAGACCGTATACTCGGGGCTTGTGCGTGTGCCCCTGTATATTATAATATTATGTACCTGCTGCCCCAAGTCCTCGTTCTTGTGTGACGTATACATCATATCAATATTATTGTGCGTCCTCGCAAAACCCTTCGATATCAACGAATATTACAATAATATTATTATATATCGATGTCGTCGTACAATGACAATACGATAATATAATATTTACGGCACAAAATAATCGTCAGGCTTGTGTACATGTCATATAGTTCGATGTAGTAATCGATTTTTGGTGTCCCGGTATGGACGGTACACGACACTGAAGCCGAACGCAGTGAATAATATAATATATTGTACCACTTTCGAGTGTGCCAGCCGTGGAGTTGTACCTACATCAGCTGCTGCAGAACTATCATTTCAGTGAAAAACAATTTGCAAAAGTAACCCGAAATATTATAATAATATGTATTACGTATACCTACCACATTATAATTATGACTAAAAATGCAGGCACTCATAAATAACCCTTTGAATTTTTAATTTGTTTGTTTTAGTTTAAATAACTTAATTCAACGACAAACACTTTTCTGAAAAAAAAAAAAAACTATCACGAGTTTTGATTATATAATATAATAATACGCATAATAATATACGATTAGTATCATGTGCAGTACCTGCCTAGGTAGCAGTTAACTTAACTTTGTTAATGATGTCATAAAACTTTTTGTGCCTTTATAATTATTAATTAGGTACCTAATGGATATTAATTTTCACAATTTTTTCACTTTTTCACTCTTTACTCGAAAATAACATCCACTTACTATACGGTACTACTGCAGTATAAGCGAATATTGTATTGTTTTATACGAGTAACCTACGTCGCATATTGTAAGATACGTATGTAACGGATGTGTATGTAAAATGTCATATTTTAATGACTAACAATATTATGAACACAATTAATCATATTTTTATCAGGTGGTTTGTTCAAACAATTAGTTTGAATTGCTGAAGAAAATATGACTTCTGCGGGTTTTCGATTTTTTTTTTTTTAATACGTACTTATAATACCTGTTGTAGTGCTTATTCTTTAGTGCCTATGTATGTATATAAGCACTGCATAAACTCAAACAAATAATCTCATATTTTCGTACGATGCAATAAACGCGTATTGCAAACAGGTTCATTTCCCTGGCACCCCCACTTCAAAATTTTGGAACCGAACCCGGGGCTTTCGATTGTTCTTCGTTTGTTCTTGTTTGTTCCGAAAATTTCGTCGTTTGTTCCGTCACCGTCCCCGACTTATAGCCCTTTTACGGTGGGGGTGCCAGGGAAATGCCTGCACCCCCACTTTTGAATTTCGGAACCGGACCCGAGCCATTCGATTGTTCTTCGTTTGTTCTTGTTTGTTCCGAAAATTTCGTCGTTTGTTCCGTCACCGTCTCCGACTTATAGCCCTTTTACGGTGGGGGTGCCAGGGAAATGCCTGCACCCCCACTTTTGAATTTCGGAACCGGACCCGAGCCATTCGATTGTTCTTCGTTTGTTCTTGTTTGTTCCGAAAATTTCGTCGTTTGTTCCATCACCGTTCCCGACTTATAGCCTTTTTACGGTGGGGTGCCAGGGTAATGCCCCCTAGTTTAATTTCACAACCCTCGCTTTTTAAATATATTCATTCTAAATCCATATAACCAGTACCTAATAAAATAATTATCAACTTAAAATAAATTCCATTTCATTAATTTGTTAATCATCGTTTACAGTTATAAATATTATAACATTCAACACTATATAATAGTATATATTTTATTTTTTTATAATTACAAATAAACAATTAATTTGCATTTATATTGTGTTATATTTTGAGTTGTATATTGTATTTGATTTATCAAGTATTATTTTTGCACTGTTGACTGTCGAGTACCAAACAAAATGTTTGTGTATTATAATATTATTTCCGTAAAAATGATTACAAGTGGTGAGGGGAAGTGGTGACTGGTGGCAGTGACTTTGTTACATTTATAAATTCAGCACCCCCCCCCCCCCACCCCCAACAGTTGTTGAAATTGCACCTATGATAGTATATAATTACAAAATATAATCCACAACTTTTTACGTTTTTTAGCAAATATTTAACATTGTTAGTCCATAGTACTGTTTTTTGACACAATTTAAAAGATTTCGGTTATTTTGGTTTTGACACAATTTAACCGAAATAGATTTTTACGGTTCTGACCATTTTCGGTTACATTATAATGAAAAAAAAACTATGATAATATACAAAACACATTTGTTTTAATTGTTTTGAATGTTGACCGATTTAACTGTTTTGACTTGAATGTCGATATATATAAATATTATGTATTATATGGATATTATAAGAAAATATGTATTATTAATGTATACATAATAATATTAATATTTTACTAGGCTGACTGACCGTCATCGGTCAGAATCGTTTTTCTTATACAATGATATTATATCATTGAATTCAAATTGAACACAATCCATTACAGGGACTCACTTGTAACCTACTGTACAGCAGAGCGACACCAACTTACCAACTTTTTTCAACATAAATATATATTTGGGTGTACCTCCAAAAGAAATAACAGTAGATACATACAATTTTGACTGAATTTTCATATAAGCATTTTCTACACACCATAACATTTTCAAAATATTTTTGAGCTGTTTACGGACAATTTAATATTTTAATATTAAACCGTTTTCGTTCCCGAATTATAGCCCATTTTCCCCAGGTGCCAGGGAAATGCCTGCACCCCCACTTTTGAATTTCGGAACCGGACCCGGGCCATTCGATGTTCTTCGTTTGTTCTTGTTTGTTCGAAAATTTCGTCGTTTCTTGTACCACCATTCCCGAATTTATTATAGCTGATTAACCGTGGAGGTGCCAAGGAAATGCCATATAGTTTAATTTAAGCCCCCTATTCAAATATATTCATTATCTATATTATACATATTATACATTTTGTAATATATATGCATACTATAAGATATATTAATGTTATATTAATGTAATTAATAAATATTTAATATTAAATGTATTAATGTATCAATATAAAAAATAAAAATATTACTTTAATGTTTAAATTATTCATATGGACTCAAAAATTTGTTTGCGTACCATGGATTTGTCATCCTCGAATCTTAAGCACATGTAAAACACAGTATAATTTAACCTTAGTCAGAATGAGAGGCTTTGATAAAATCAGTGTTTCGGTTTCGGATTCGGGTACTCTTTCCTCTATTTTGTTGATAATATGAGATATGGCAATCCATTCTATCAAAAATTGGAGTGCCAAAGTGAATAAGTTAATAAGTAGGTATTTGAATATTTTTTTTAATTTTTGAACTTATAAAAAGTGAGTTCACATAAAAGACCTGGAACATTTAAAAAAATGAAAAATAACCAAAAAAATTTATAATTGTTGCAAAAATTAACAAGCAGTGACAGTTTTCCTAATGTTCTTAAAGCACTAAACAATTTTGTGACTAAACTGGTTACATTTTATTTAACTATTAAATTAAAACAAATAAAGTAATACAATCGTAGACCTATATATATACTATCAATTTTAATAACATGAAATTGTTTTTAAACTTTTTACAGCACTTTTTTAACATAAATATAATATATTTTATAAACTTTTTTTTACATTGAAATAAATAAATAATTATACACCCTCGTATATTAAACTAAAAAATATTTATAATAATTTTAAATTATTTAGTGTATACTAAATATTGACATTTTTGTGCTTCGGTTGTTGGTCTAACAGTTTTTGATTTTTGTTGAAAATCATCATATTTTTCCCATGTTTTATTTGGTTCTCTATAACAGTATGCAATATAATGTCCAACTGCATTTATTGCACTTGAAATTGGCGAAATAAAGTTTACAATTCCTCTTAGGTAAAATAACTCTTGTTTCACTTTAAGAATAGTGGGGATATCTTTTAATTGAGTGTTTAAGTCCAGATTTTTTTTTAGTTTTCGCTGTGGAGTAAGAGGTACTACTGGTTCGATAATTAAATGTTCTTTAAAGTCCAGGGCTTGTGTCATACTTGTGTCACAATTTTTACAATGTGATGGTGTAAAATTAAAGTCTTCCATTAAATCAGTTAAGAAAACTAAATCATCAGTTGGTAGATTTACTGATACAATTATTTCTTCCCTTAAAAATCTATTTGAACAATCTGGACATACCATTGTTGCAACAACAGAAGGAAAGTTGGCAAATATTTGGTTTAACATGAATTGGGCCGTACAAGCTGCATCAATTACTGTCAATTCGAAAGTACATTGATTCGTAAATAAGTCTTTCAAAAGCAATCCTCGTTTCCTATAGGATTGTACGGTAATACCATCACGTACGGCACGGGACACCAACTCCATAAATTTATTTTCTGTTCTTCTTTCAACAAACTCTGAATAAAGTTCGCTATCAGCGTAAGCACAAAACATTACTTGTGATATTGAATCAAATGTACATGTATTTATGAGAGACACATAATCGTTATCAATACGAATACTTTTCAATTCTGAAATAGATCCATTCCGCAAAATGCCAATGACTGAATTTCTTGATCGGCTCTTATCATTGCAGTGCAGTATCGTTGGATCTTTTGTTATATACTTAGATTTTTTTGTTTTATTTTTGGATTTTCCTAACCCCATCCAGTCTTCCGTAAAATCAAAAATATTTTGTTCGGGTTCGTCTTCCTCTTCCAATATCAGCCGTTTTGGTTCGTTTTTAATGTTTGTAGTAGGTGTTTCGATTTCATTTTCAGTTTCTGTAATAGTTCGTTTTAGTTCATCGTATGTATTTGAATTTGAAACAAGACATTTTAATTTGACTTGTATTTCTGAAATTGGTTGCTGGGTTTCATGTTCAATATCCAAAATATCTTTTTTTGACTGAGCTACAGATGTGTTCATTAAATTCATCATACCAATAATTGATTCAACGTGAGTTACAAAAAAATCATCTAAACGAAGCGGTAAAGTTTTGTGTTTAAAAACAATTGACTTAAGATCTTTGAACATACTTTCCGAGGAAGAACTTGTTTCTGTTAAACTACCATATTCAAAAATAGGGACCATCAAAGCAGACCAACAAGTTATGTATTTGCAAAAGTTTAATAGTCTTTTCGCTAGGGAAGGAGAATATTGCATATTGTCGTGATGGCCGGTTAAGTTACTTGTAAGTTGACTAGTTTGTTCACATTCTTCGTATAAACGTTTTATGTCCTGGAATATACTAGTGGAAGCTACTGGAGACGATACATCATCGGTTTCTTCTTCGTCGTGTAACTCTTCATTTGCTTCATTTTCATAATCAATTTCTACAATATGAGTTGCTATTCTTTGTTTTAAGAACCTTTTAGCATTCTCACATGCAGTTGGTTCCTGATCATCATTTATCCCATCACATTCGTGTAGAGCGGTAGTAAAAATTGATTTTAATATTGTTTTAATATCACCTATTGAGGTGCTTACAACGAGCAAACCAATTGCTCTCATGTAAAACTGTTTAACTCTTGGCGTGCAACTTTTTAACTCAGGCCATGTGCTAATTAAATGCATCACATGATTGAAATCATTTCTAATCATACATTTTGGAATTTCAAAACCTGGTTCTTTTGATATCAATTTACTACAGTTCGAAATATATGTATCAAGGCTAGAAAATTGCGTGAAGGTTTGTGTAACGGCATGCATTAATGCTAGCGATTGATCAGTTACGACCAATAGCGGTGGACTTTTCACATCACGAAGCCATTCTGCTAACCAATAGCTGATGCTGTTGTTGTCATGCTTTTCTGAAAGCATGTGTGCGACACAAAATTGATTTTGGTTTTTTCGATCATTCACGACAATCTCGTACAAAAAAATATTATGTGTTTGCCTACCAGAAAACAAAGTCATTTTTTTTACAACAGACCCCGTGGCGTCAATTGATATTGTGGGTACTGAATTTTTTTTTGCATAGACTCTATAATTATTCACTTCACTCGCAGTCCAGTAATGCATGAAGAACTTATCGTGTCCAATTTCCCTAATTATGTTATTGTAAGGTGGTGTTCCTTTTAGTGTCAAAATAGAAATTATAGGGTTATCATGAACTTGATCATTTTTCAAAGCCTTATGCTTAATTAATCTTATTGCATTTAATGAAGGAATGTGACTAGGTATTAGATCACCATAATCCATAATAGATCTAGCCATTTTACGTTGAATAAATGATGCCGATTTATTTTGATCTTTTAATTGGTTAGCAAACTCAATTTTCGTATCACCAATAATTCTTCTTTTTTTATGAGTTCGGCATGATTTAAAATTTCCTTTAATATTAAATCTTATAATAACACGTGACCCCACAGTCGGACAGCTAGCCAAATTACCAGATAAAGTACTATTGCACGTAGGACAGTAACCAGCAATTTTTAAAAATACTTGACCTCCCTGGTATATTTTAGCGTATTTATAAACAATTGAGCAAGGAAGTTTAGTTTGTTCGTAAAAATGCTCATGTATTACTGAGGTCCATTTATGAGGTTGTAGTGTATAGTAAGATCGATATTCGGATTTTTTATCAGAACGCTTATATATTTGAGGCCTATTGTCATACAAACTTCCCCATTCATCAGCAGACAGTGTAATATTAAAATTTAGTGTGTCATCACTAAATGTTTCTGAAGAGGTGGAACTATGGAAATCATCAAATTTGTTGATATTATCCAATTCATCTGTGCATGTAGGAATGTCGTTGGAAAAAAGTTTATTGCGAATTTTATTTCTATTTTCTTTTACAATTATATAGGCGTATTTAGAAGAGATCAAATAATTTAAGTCTTTGGATATATCTGACCAACATTGAGCAGAAGGACCTTTGATAGAGTTTGAATTTTCACACCAAAGATCGTACTTAGTTGCTACTTTGACAAATTCGTCAACGTCAACTTTCGAGACAGCAGGCATGGTAAAAACCTTGAATGTTAAATTACTTAAAATTATTATTCAATTTCACAATTTTTAAAATGTAGAACCAAATATTTAAAATACATGAAATTATTTTCTTTTTTTTATTCAACATTTTCAATCTATACATAGCTCAAAAAGCAAATTATATCATAATCTTATATAATATATAATAAATATATTCATATGAGCTCCATTTCGACAGAATGTACATTTTCGAGTTTTCCGATTTTCTTATATACGTTATTTTGAGGATAATTTGCGTAATTTTGCGGAATAATTTTCAATTTTTGCGGACAAATATTTTTTTAGCAAGCTAAAAAAACTGAAAAAAAATTAAAGAAATTCTATTAAATTTTTTAGTATATCACCATTTTGAGGATAAATCACAAAATGTTGCAGACTAATTTAAATTTTTTGCGTGCAATTAGTTTTTTAGCAAATTAAAAAATTGAAATGCAGTCCTCAAAATGCACGAACTATCCGCAAAATGGTGGAATACTAAAAAATTAAATAGAATTTTTTTTCAGTTTTTTTAGCTTGCTAAAAAAATATTTGTCCGCAAAAATTGAAAACTAGTCCGCAACATTTTGTGATTTATCCGCAAAATGGTGGTAAACTAAAAAATTTAATAGGTAGCATTTTTTAAATTTTTTTTCAGTTTTTTTAGCTTGCTAAAAAAATATTTGTCCGCGAAAATTGAAAATTAGTCCGCAAAATTACGCAAATTATCCGTAAAATAACGTATATAAGAAAATTGGAAAAATCGAAAATGTACATGCTGTCGAAATGGAGCTATTTATATGTATTGGTAATTAAATTATGAGGGAAAACCAGTAACTATATTTAAAATTAAACTATTGATTAACCTCAACATGAATGAGGCACATTCTCATTGCACATGCGTATGCGTCAATTAAAAAGAAAAAATTAAAATGAGGTAATACAGTGAAATCTGCCTATAAGGGACACTGACTGGACCATCAAAAGTGTTTATTATATGCAGCCATGCAGGTGTCCGTTAAAACAGGTCTCACTGTGTAGGTAATAAATATACTATGAAAATAAAAATCATCTCCAAATATACCTATCAATTTATTTCTATGATTCAATTTTTCATATAATATGTTATGTACGACTTTGAAATAAATAAATGAGAATTTCAAAATTAAATTTTAAAAAATTCTATTATTGTTTCAATTCATTAAAATTTAAAAGCGATTTTTAAAAAATAAAATAATAGAGAATCATCCAATACATACATAAGATTATAAATTAAATTCAAACTGTTTTATTAATTATATAAACTAATATAGTAATTGTTTGAATTAAGATGATTAAACTTGATCTAAAAGGTGATTTTATTATTGTAAATATAACTATTATAATTAGATTATTGAATATAATAAATTTTAAAATACAGTAATATTGTAATTAAAATATTAAATTTGGAGATATATTAATTATTATATTATTATAAATTTATATTATATTGATTAATTTTAAACCATTTTATAATTTGGACTTATCAATGTTTTTTTTAAATTATTAAAATGATAAATTTATTTGTGTTTTTTTTAAAATATTTAAACATTTATTATAAATTAAATGTAGGTACATAAAATTGGAATGTACCTCCTAAACTATCCGGGTGGTACACAAAAAATATTATTACTTATTAACTTTTATTACACAGTTTCAATTAATTTGATTAGGTTCCCAAGACATTGCAGCACGACTACCGCTCTCTCTATGTGTTTCTCCTTAGGTGTGGTTTACCTCTCTCCCTCAGAAAATTTACATATACATTATAACATATTGTATAATTTTCTGGAGTTCGTTTTTAATAACTTTATCGTTTATCAATAGTGCTTTAAGTGTTCAAATAATATTTAATAACTTATTTTTATTATGTATTAACTTGAATAGATACCTAGCTTTTATGTAACAACTACCTAACAATAATTCCATACAATATAATGTTGTATATTTAATTTTTTTTTTTTGAATAAGAACTATTATTATAATGATTTGTTTATTTGCAAATAATTCAGTGTTGCACATAGATAACACAACTTACAGTAAATAAATTAGATAAACATAAAGATAAAATTAAGAGTTTTTAATATTTACAACCATCCGATGAGGTTATAACTTGTGAGTTGTGGTGGATAGTTTGATTGAGAGTTAACAATAACTTAACTGTTTTAATATTATCAAGTGTTATAGAATTACAATATCATTTAAATGTATATTTTAAAATACATTTAAATATTTTGTATATTATAAAAATAATTTATATTAATTCCGAAAATCCTACATGATTTTTTAGGGATATTTTTATTTATATTTTCCTTGGGTCGAGTAGGTACTATATTGGTGAGGGATGTTAGACATTGTAATATGTCTGTGTTTAAAAACAATTATGTTGTAATTATGCATAATTTATATGCAAAGCAATTGAAATACTTTTAAAATAAAACGCTTTTATGTTATAATATACTTATAATATAGGTACTTCTTTACTTTTTGTATAAGTGAAAGAGTAATAGGTTTAGCAATTTTGATTTTAATAGCTTATATAATATGATAATTATTATTAAATAACATCATTATTCATTTTAACATTATTGATTTTTAGTTCTATTATTTATAGGAAATAATTTCCCTTGATTATTATATTATACTATGGTGTTTGGACCAGATTTTTTTTTATTTTCATGTACCAATTTCCAATTAATATCAATATTCAATTAATTTTAAATAATGGTTATATGTTGGGTGTGGATATATTTTTTTATTTAATATTTTTATCAAGGATTTTAATTAGTTAAAGAATCAAATTAAATATTTATTTAAGGAGAGATTTTTTTATTTGCATGTACCTACCTAGCCTATTAAAGGCTTGAATTAATTTGGAATCCGATAAATAGTAAGGAGAGTTGAAGTCCAGGGTGCTTATTTATTATTTGTTCTAAATCAAACTTTTCAAGTAAGACAATATTCAAAGTCCATTTAGGCTTCAAATTCATTTTTTACTTTTTGCACTATAAACATAATTGAGGCCAGCTCAACAAATTTCCACCAGGGATAAGTGTGGATCAAATGTCCGATACACAAATAACCAATAAATTTACTACCATTAACAAAAATGTCTATAAAATATAAGAATATGAGAACAATTTTAAGAGCATTATATTTTTACAACATACATTGAGAATATTTACAAACTGTACCATTAGGGTCATCAAATGTGAATTGGCTACTACTAAACACAGAAATATCTGTCCAGCAGAAATTTCAATAGAATATAAAAGTACTAATAAAAGATACTATATAAGTATTTTGAAATAAGTTTGTAACAATATGACCAAGTGTGGATAAAATAATGAGAAAGGTGTTAAAAGTTGTACCGATACGGTCAGCAAATGTGTTAATAACCTCAAGTTACTACAACCCCTCAGATATATCTATCCAGTAGACATTTCTGTGGAATATAATAGTAACTAGATATCTTTGGGAGTATTTTAATAATTCAAAACAACACTTTATTTCATCTATATACCCACAGATGCCCACAGAATAATCTGTACAGTAAACATTTCTATAGCATAAAAAAGTATAACGACATCTTGTGAAACATTTAAACATTTTAAAGTGTATCGGACCATTGATCTTTCAAGAACTTATCAGTTCAAAATCACAAATTTGTTAGTCTTTCATAATCTAACTAATTTATAATGTTTGAAAAAATAAATATTTTTTGGCGATAATATGTTGAGCAAGCAATATAATATGTTTAAGGTGCATTCTTACGTGTAACTGTGTAAGTCGATATAAACACAATTATTGATATTTCTTCAAAGTCTGTATAGTGTATTATATAAATTAATATAAAACAGTGATGGACCTTTGAGTAAAATAATTTATGGTTAACCTAACCTGGCAAACCGCAAACTTTTGAGAATTAAGTGCGATATTGTGCTATTCGAGGTTAACGTTAACACGATATTGTTAATAATACTTATCAGTGTTTGATAAGTGATAAATTATAACTTATCAGATATCAATCACGTTGTGGATGTAGCGACCACGGTTTAAGATAGTCTATCTTAAACCGTGGTAGCGACGCACACACGTAACCATGCGCACGAGCGCCATCTATTGGTTCGCCTCAACGAAACACCAGCTCCCTAGCGAGCGAATAGAATATCGTTACTTTTTGATTCGAACCAATATTTTTATATTTTATATTGATATTTATTATTAGTACCAAATCATTGGAATGGAAGGTCATTTATCTCCAATAAGCTAAAATGCTAAAACAAATCACTTAAATCACACGAGCACTTACTACTTAGGTTAGGTACGCACCTACACTAACCTACTCACTGTTCAAACTTCACAATCGTGTCAACTATCATTAATTTATTTATTTATTTCAATAATTCAATGTATGAACAAAAGTTTATAAAATATATATTTATGTTGAAAAAAGTTGGTAAGTTGGTGTCGCTCTGCTGTACAGTAGGTTACAAGTGAGTCCCTGTAATGGATTGTGTTCAATTTGAATTCAATGATATAATATCATTGTATAAGAAAAACGATTCTGACCGATGACGGTCAGTCAGCCTAGTAAAATATTAATATTATTATGTATACATTAATAATACATATTTTCTTATAATATCCATATAATACATAATATTTATATATATCGACATTCAAGTCAAAACAGTTAAATCGGTCAACATTCAAAACAATTAAAACAAATGTGTTTTGTATATTATCATAGTTTTTTTTTCATTATAATGTAACCGAAAATGGTCAGAACCGTAAAAATCTATTTCGGTTAAATTGTGTCAAAACCAAAATAACCGAAATCTTTTAAATTGTGTCAAAAAACAGTACTATGGACTAACAATGTTAAATATTTGCTAAAAAACGTAAAAAGTTGTGGATTATATTTTGTAATTATATACTATCATAGGTGCAATTTC